TCATGGATACATCTACTCCCAGGTCTAAGTAGCAAGAAAGCAGTGAGAGACAAAAAGCAATGAGGATTCTCCAACATTCTTAGGCACACAGTTCCTCTGACCAAAGGTAAGTGTTACCCTCTCTGAGACATTTAGGGGCCTGCTCAGCCACCGATGTCCTCATCACAGGAATGCCTGGAAGTGTCAGAATAGTCTTACTTCAAATTCTAATTAATTTCCCAATTCTGTCTGTTACACCTTTCATTTTCTGGGTCCTCAGACAACTGCACCATGCATTATCTCCAGGGTTTTTAGTCATATTTGGTGGAAGAGATAGAGTGGACTGTGCTTAATGCTATTTTATGTGGGACCCAAACTGACCAAAAATTATTTTATTTCCAATGATTACATCTTTGGAGGATGAACTCACATAGGAACTTTCTGAAATTATAAAAGAATTCTGACAAGAAGTTTCATATTTATCATTTTACACACTTTTCTGAAAAAAATTACTGTGGTAAAATATAGCATAAAATTTGCCACTTAAACTAGTTTAAAATAAAATTCAGTGAGATTAATTATATTCACAATGTTATGCAACTATTAGCACTATTTATTTTCAAAAGTTCTTAATCACCCCAAAGAGAAACTCAGTACCTTAAGTAATAATTCCCCATTCCTCTCTTCCACCTAGCCTCTGGTAATCACTAAATTTCTGTCTCTATGCATTTGCCTAAGTATTTCATTTAAGTGGGATTATACAATATTTGTCTTTTTGTGGGATTTATTTCATCAGTATGATGTCTTCTCATGTACCCCTGTAGGATATCATGCTTGCTAAAGCAGAGAGTCAGTGAAAAAGGGGAAGACCCTCAATGGGATGGATTGACACAGTGGCTGTAACAATGGGCTCAAGCATGACAACAACTGTATGGATGGCATAGAACCAGGCAGTGTTTCATTCTGCTGTATAAATGGTCCCTACTAGTCAGAACTGACTTGACAGCACCTAAAAACAACACAATTTCTCATCCATGTTGTGGCATGTATAAGAACTTCATTTTTCTTTATGGTGGAATAATATTCTATTGTACTGGTAGCATAGTGCCTAAGGCATCTGACTGCTAAGCAGAAGGCTAGTGGTTCAAACCCACCAACCACTCCTCAGAAGGAAGATTGGGTAATCTACTTCCATAGGCATACTGCCTTGGAAACCCAAGGCAGGGTTGCTATAAGTTGGATCCGACTCGATGGCAGTGAGTTTGGTTTGCTTTTTGGTATATATATACCACATTTTGTTTATCCATTCATCTGTAAGTGGACAGTTGGGTTGTGTTCATCTTTTAGCTACTGTGAATAATGCAATGAATGTTGGTATACATCCAATCACTTTTTGCCTCTATTTTTTATTAAAATTTTTAAACATACAGAAAAGTTTAACAGATAACCAATGAACATCTCTACATCATTCACAAAGATCCAACAATTCATTAATTTTTAAAATTTTACTTGAAAATGTGTAGACATCATGACTTTCAAAATTAAAAACTGCATGCATCACTCAAGAATAAGCATTTTCCTATATAACCTCAATACCAGTATCACTTCTAATAAAATTAAACACACCTCATTATATAACACCCATTGCACCTTTATATTTCCCCAATTATTCCTCAAAATGTCTTTCACAACTGTGTTTTGTTTTTGTTTTTTTCTGAAGCAGAAGTCAATTAAGAATACCTTACATTTGGTCTCTTATGTATCTTAATTCAGAAAACCTCTCTTTTTGTTACAGTGGCCTTTTGGAGAGTCCCAGGCAGTGATCTTGTAGAATGTCCCAAACTGTTGATTTGTCCAGTTATTTTCTCATTGTGTGATTCATCTTTTTTTCTCTTCCTTGTACTTCTTATAAACAAACAGGAAGATAAGTCTAGATGAAAGACTTAATTAGATCTTAGTTAAGCATTTTTGGCAAAAATAAATCATATAGGATGATGTGTGCTTCATATTACATTTGAGCAAGAGCCACATGTCAGCTTGTCCTACTAGTGGTGAAATCCATATGGCTGACAGATTACAAAGGTGTATCTTTCTTTTGCAATTGGTAAGCATCTCTCATGTTTTGACATCATACAAATATTGTTTTCTAAAAACAATGATAGCATCTGTACCTCAGATGAATTTGTGTATTTAAGTACAATTATCATAAAACAAATATAATGAGAGACTCACAAGATATAGAAAAACCTTTACTGTAAGTTAATTAACACAAGTAGGGAAAAACCTCAAAGATCAAAATGTAACTAATTAAAATATTGCAATTTTGCCTGAAAAGTTTATAAAATTTACAAAATTCTTCACTTAACAAGCTTTATCATCTATTGATTGGGTTTTTTTTTGCCTAATTTAATTATATTAAGGGTTTAAAAATGGTGACTTCTAAATCTATCATTCCTTGCATATTTAAAAGATGTCATCCTTCAAATAATTTTATGAAGTTTTCCTTTTTGTTTCATCATTATGGACTTTTGTGTATGTGTGGTGGTGTGTTGTTTATTTAGATGTTATAATCAACCACAGTCATATTCTTTTTGATGTTTAAATTGTCCTAAGTTTGGTTAGTGGGAACTCCTTCAAGTTAATTCCTATGCTTTCTGACATAATCCCATTATTTCTGAGTGTTCTCTTTTTTTTTCCTCCAAATATTTTCCAGGCATCTCTTACATTTTCCATGCTACAAACATAGAATCAGCCCCTTCTCCAAGAAACCTGGTTCCTTTTAGTGGGTAATGGTATTTAAACCCTAAAATTTGGGTGCGAAGTATGATTCTGCTTTTGGGTAACCAAATACATTTTTACCTAGAATATCTTGCAAACAGCTTTGTGCAATGTTGAATACTTAGTTCTGTTTAAAAGCTTCATTTTCCTTCTAAATGTAATTAAATGTATAAAATCATATTTCTGATGTGGTAAGATACATCAACTAAGAAATATGATATGCTGATTTCTTGAGTTTGCTTTAATTCTAAACCTTTTCACAAAAAGTTCTAGCTAATTGTACCAAAACAACTTTTTAAAAAGGATACCAATTGTGAAGTCACATAAACAACTGGAGGAAGTAGGCCTAGGGGGAAATGAAAGGTATCTTAAAAACATAGAAAATGTTTAGATAACCAATTTAACCTGATGAATAGGATGTTTAATAAAGTACTCATTTATTTCTTTCAGAATTAACTTGACAACAACGGGTGTTTATATTTCTTTACACAAAAGAATTACTAAAAGATGCTAAACAGAAACAAAATTCTTCTATGTGAAACCCCCAAAAGCAATGATAGCATCTGTACCTCAGATGAATTTGAATATTTAAGTACAATTATCATAAAAGCAGATATAATCAAAGACTCATAAAATAAAGGAAAACCTTTACAGTAAGACAACATCAGTAGGGAAAAACCTCAAAGATCAAAATGTAACTAACTAAAATATTGCAATTTTGCCTGAACAATTTACAAAAGAAATAGTACTCTTGGGACTTGTGATTGGAAATAAATCCTACTTATCACAGAACACCAGAGCTGAATACCTACATGTTAGTACTAACTCAGCTTGGTTTCTTCATCGGTAAAATGAAAGACATGATTTGATGAAACTAAAACCTCGTCTCTAATGAGTGATTATCAGGCATATAGTTTGAGAGTCTGTCAAATGTATGTATACCTTCTGTAAAAGACACCAAAGTATATGCATGACAGGCTCTCCACCTGCTTTAGTTTTCTCTACCTTCTGTAGTACTCTAAGACTCTATTAATTAACATAGAATCATATCATATGAAGAAATAATATAATAGAAAAGGAAGAAAGTCTCCATTTGGGAAAAATTTTCATTGTCAAAAGTAACCTGAAATTAATTTCAAAATCAATAAAGATGCTTTTTATTATCAAAAAATTTCACAAGAACATGTGAAAAATGTGCACATATTTCAGCACTTGTGCACATACATATAATGTGCATTGTGTATGTATCCACTTAGTTTGCTGATAGGGGAAGGTCATAAGAAGTGAAATTAACTATTTTCATATGAAAAAAGTTAAATTTAAAGAATTCCTTTTGATCTTTAGCTTCTCTTTATGAAAAGGGGTGCTTTCTATGTCTGTCTGCCATTTTAGAAAATATGGCCTCAAACTTATTTACATTATTTACAATAACACAACGAATTTTTAAAAAAGAAAACTGACATAGCGTACTCATAGAAAAGTAGTACAGCCTAATGAGAGAAACAAAATTATAGTCAAGTATTTTTATGTTTTTAAAAAATGGCCTTTACCTTTTCTTATGAATTTTTTAAAAAATTGTTTATAGGTTTTTAGGAACCTTGGAATTTAATAGGTCCTATAGAATTCAACATGTTCATGCTTTCTATTTTTCCATTGATTAATTCGACCATTACTAAGTGCTAGCTAGCATATTTCCCACCATACTTCATCTCTTGCATTTTGGACATGTTATCAGGAAGGAGTAGTCCCTGGAGAGGGAAATCATGCTAAGTAGAGGATCGGCAAAAAAGAGGAAGACCCTCAACAAGATGAAGTGGCTGCAACAATGGCCCACATAGCAATAACTGTGAGGATGATGCAGGACCAGGCAGTGTTTCATTCCGTTGTACATAAAACAACAACAACAACAACAACTCACTGCCGTCGAGTTGATTTGATTCATAGTGACACCTCCCTGGGTTTCCAAGATGGTATCTCTACAGAAGTAGATTGCCCAATCTTCCTTCCAAGTAGTGGCTGATGGGTTTGAACTATCAACCTTCTGGCTAGCAGTCAAATGCCTTAGGCACTATGCCACCATTGCACACAGAGTTGCTATTAGTTGAAACCAACTTGACAGCACCTACCAATACCAAGCATATTTCCTCTAAGTAAAAAAGTTTTCCTCTATTAGGAGTTTGTGCCCTATATATTATTGCCCTGATTATTCATCAATGGATTGTTTGAGAGATAAATCAAATCTCTTAGGGCTTATCTCCTCGAAGAAAATTTTGATAATGACTAAGAGAGGAGCTGTAGATGAAAGGTTTCTCATAGTCCTTCCATTTATAGAGTTTTTCTTTGTTGTGAACTTTTTTGTGTCTACAAAGGTTTGATCTGTAACTGTAGGCTTTCCCACATTCCATACATTTATAGAGTTTCTCTCCAGTATGGATTCTCTCATGTTCGGTTAGGAATGAATACTGGCTGAAAGCTTTTCCACACTGATTACACTGATAGGGTTTCTCTCCAGTATGAATTCTTTGATGCCTATAAAGGTTGGATTTGCAACCAAAGGCTTTTCCACATTCTTCACACCTATAGAGCTTTTCCCCAGTATGAATTTTCCGGTGTTCATTAAAGGATGAATACTGATTGAAAGTTTTCCCACATTCATTACATTGATAGGGTTTCTGTCCAGTATGAATACGCTGATGTTCAATAAGGGTTGAGATACGTGTGAAGGTTCTCCCACACTCCATGCATTTACACAGTTGTTCTCCACTATGGAGTCTCTGATGTTCAGCCAGAGATGTAAACTGGCTATAACCTTTTCCACACTCATTACATTTATAGGGTTTCTCACCTGTATGGATTCTTTGATGTCTATGAAGCTTTGCTCTGCAATTAAAGGCCTTTTCACATTCATCACATCTATAGAGTTTCTCTCCAGTATGAATCCTCTGATGTACAGTGAGGGTTGAACACTGGCTAAAGGCTTTACCACATTCGTTACATTGATAGGGTTTCTCTCCAGTATGCACTCTCAGATGTTTGATCAGGGTTGAACTGCTGCTAAATGCTTTCTCACATTCATTACATTTGTAAGGTTTCTCCCCAGTATGAATTCTCTGATGGGCAATAAGGGATGATCTGTGGTTGAAGGTTTTCCCACACTCATTACATTTGTAGGGTTTCTCACCAGTATGAATCCTCTGGCCCTCAATAAAATGAAGACTATGATTGAAGTTCCTGCTACATTCATTATAAATATGAGATTTTTCTCCTGGATAAATTTGGAAAGATTTCATTAGATGAAAATCTTGTTTAAAATCTTTCCCAAAAGTATAATATATATTAGGTATCCTTTCTATAGGAACATTCTGTTGTTTAACAAGAACTGTATTTATAAATAAGCCTTTCCCCAGTTCAAGATTTGTATGGTTTCTATCTCCGCTGATGGTTTTCTTGTATGAGGCTACAATTTGCCTAAGAGGCTTCTTCTGTTGCTCCTGTTCTAGTCTGCTCTCAAAATCCAAAGCTTCTCCAAACTTGATGTTCCACTGACCACACTTAATGGCTTTTTTCATTATTATTTCCTGAGATGTTTCTTCTACAAAAATGTCATGTTTGGGAGGCAAGGCTTCTATTTTAGGCCAAGTCTTGAAACCTGAAATGAATTGGAAGAATAAACACTTACTCTTGTGGAAGAGACAAACTTACACATCCATGGGATGCTAAAAGTGGCAACACATATAAAATAGGTTTGATGTCATCTGATTTCAAATATGGACTTGAGTTTGGAGAAAATTGGGATGGGAAAATGGAAGGAGAGATAAACGGTTTAAGTGAATAGTATAGGAGCCCTGGACAAATTAACACTGAAAATAAAGACAAGAAAAGTTAGACATAGAAGAACAGGTTGAGCAGAAGGTATGAGGATACAGAAAAATGTCCAACATTAAACTCAAGCTGGAAAGCTAGTGTGGGAATACTATATGATACTTCATAGTATTTATCATTTGTTATCATTTCTCACTGGGAGTACACTGAGCAATAAAGTAGAAGACTTGTTTTTACTTCCTCCTTTCTTTCCCTATACTCATAGCTAAAATGTTGCTTGTATTATATTTTTCTCATGTTCTCTCTGAAATCTCACATATAAAAATTTAAAGTATTTGCAATGTTTTTTATGATTTCATACGTGATTTTGAGTTTATATTATAGTCTCTCAACAATTTTTTAAAAAGGAATTCGGGTTTTAAAAATTATAACAGCAGTGAAGCATGACTGTTTTGACAATATTTGATCTCAGTTCAAGATACTGATGATTAAAAAAAGAAGAATTATGGAGTAAATCACCCCTGTGCAACAATCTACCTTTTGTGATAGTATTCTGCCACCACCATCCCCCTTTCTATTTGATCATGAGGAAAAACATACATGTTAATTTCTTCTAATAAGCTGCAACAGAAGGCTGAATTATCTTTGTAAAAATGAAATTCTGAAAGAGATTTTAAGTCCACATGTCCTAAAGTTCTGAAATATGTACAAGCTCTAAGCTAAGCTCTGGTTCTAAAAAGACATAGCTTGAGCTGATTCTAAGTTACTGTGTTAAAAGCTGGCTTTCGTAATCAATCCATGATTGAAAACTGATTACAATTAGAAAACTGTAATTAGATAATTGTAGCACTTGTACTTTGTAACACACAAGGGTCACCATGAATTGAAATAAAAATGACAGCAACACATTCAGGTTTTTTTGTTTTGTTTACTTGACTAAACTATACAATCAGCTCATTTATGTTAATAAAATTACTGCTTAGTCTATCCAGTCTTATTAATAAAATATGTTTTACTGAAATCAAATAATTGAAAAGACCAAGAAATATAAGCTATAATTTTTCTTAGTTAATGATGCCCATGGGAAACTTGGCAGTTTGGATTTTCATGGGATCAGTCAAGGTACCTTCTTTTTTTTATTCCACTTTGCCAAAATATGACCTTCCATGCCCATCCAGAAATTTACCCTACTAGTCTAATCCTATTTCTCTATAGAATTTCTTAAGCCTAAATTGACTATCTCAGAATTTTCAAAACATATTTCATTTATATCATCCATTCTATCACTTACATTTAAGTCTTGTCAAAATAATTCAAGTATTTTTTTTAAGCAGTACAGCGGACATGTCTTGTGATTATCTGGAAATTCCTTACGAGGCACAAGTATACAATCAGAATGTCTTAAAAAAAATGGATAGAGCGGGTCAGAAAAATTATTAGGAAGGGCAGGTCACCTGAAAAATGACTAGAAAAGAGATTCTATTTTCTCCTCTGATGCCTGGCACCTGGGACTCAATCAAATCTTAATTAATCAGCAATTAAGATATGAAATGAATAACCAACCCAACAGTAATAGTCCATTTTTTTATTACGTGATTGTGTGATTCAGGTGTGAAGTTCAGAGAATGAAGATACTAATATCAGCAATATCAGTAAAGCGAGGTTTTAGAAAGGAGTTTGAACAAAAAGATGCAGTAGACTTCCACAGAAAAACAAACTAAGAGGATCCTGTGGGTCAGAAAGACAACCTAATCAAAGCCAGCTGTGAAAAAAATAAAACTATTTAGTGGAGGCTTATTTGCCTCATGGAGCTCTGGTGGCATAGTGCCTAAGGCATTTGACGGCTAACCAGAAGGCTGGCAGTTCAAAACCACCAGCTACTCCTCAGAAGGAAGATGGGGCAATCTACTTCTGTAGTGATACTGCCTCAGAAACCCAAGGAGGGGTCGTTATTAGTCAAAATCGACTCAACAGCAGTGAGTTTGTTATTTTTTCTGTTTTATTTGACTCAAGACAGAAAACCAGGTTGGAATTAGTTAAAAATATGGTTAATCAGAATGACATCAAACTTAAGAATTCCAGAACAAATTGCAGAGGAAGTTAGAATGACAATGTAGATGATTGGAGGGGTTATAAGTTCTTAGGCAGATAATGATAAGAAAAACAATGGTTGTTTTTGGTAAGTGGGCAGCTTGGATCAGAGGAAGGATAGGATAGGATGCAATCTGAAATATGATACAGCTGCTATGGTCTGGCTGGACTGAGTAGTTAAGTTTGAGCCTCATTGGCATTGAGCCAAAATAGGGGCAATTCAATTAAACTTAACAACAATAACTAAATGCAACATATGACATGCTGGAGGCATAGGATTCAAAGAGCTGGTCTCTCCCCTCAATGTGCTCTATTCAGTGAGAAAAACACATAATGAAAAACATAACTATAATTCATTATGATAGTGTGTGTATATATATATATATATATATATATATATATATCACACACACACACACACACTATATATATATATATAAATTAACATTGATTAGGAAGTGAAAAAGATAAGGGAAATCTAAGTTTAGGAAGGCAGATGAATCTTGGAAGATAAGCATGAGCTTTTCAGTAGATAAGATGGAGGAGGTAATTGAAACTGAAGGAATAACACAACAAAGAATACCAGAAAGACATTTACCCTTGTTTTATTGATGATGCAAAGGCATTTGATTGTGTGGATCATAAAAAATTATGGATAACACTGCAAAGAATGGAATTCCAGAACACTTAACTGCTCATGAGGAACTTGTACACAGACCAGGAGTTAGTCATTTGAACAGAACAAGGGGACACTGCACAGTTTAAAATGAGGAAGAGAGTGTGTCAAGATTGTATCCTTTCACCATACTTATTCAGTCTGTATGCTGAGCAAATAATCCGAGAAGATGGACTATATGAAAAAGAATGCAGCATCAGGATTGGAGGAAGATTTATTAACAACCTATAATATGCAGATGACACAACTTTGCTTGCTGTAAATGAAGAAGACTTGAAACCCTTACCGATGAAGACCAAAGACTACAGAATTCAGTATGGATTACACCTCAACATAAAGAAAACAAAAATCCTCACAATGGGACCAACAGACAACATCATGATCAATGGGGAAAAAATGAAGTTGTGAAGGATTTCATTTTACTTAGATTGACAATCAACACCCATAGAAAGTGCAGTCAGGAAATCAAATGACAATCTGCACTGTGCAAATCTTCAAAAGATCTCTTTAAAGTGTTAAACAGCAAAGATGTCACTTTGAAGACTAAAGTGTGTCTGACCCAAGCCACAGTATTTTCAATCACCTCATATGGAGCTCTGGTAGCATAGTGCCTATGGCACTTGACTGCTAACCACGAGGCTGGCGGTTCAAACCCACCAGCCACTCCTCGGAAGGAAGGTTGGGCAATCCTACTTCTGTAGTGATAACTGCCTCGGAAACCCAAGGGGGGGTCACTATGAGTCGGGGCCGACTCGACGGCAAATAACAACAACAACAACATATGCATGTGAAAGCTGGACAATGAATAAGGAAGACCAAAGAAGAGCTGATGCATTTGAATTGTGGTGCTGGTCAAGAATACTGACAATACCATGGACTGCCAGAGAACAAACAAATCTGCCTTGAAAGAGGTACAGTCAGGATGCCCCTTAAAGGTCATCATCTCTCATATTTTGGTCATGCTGTCAGAAAGGACCAATCCTTGGAGAAGGTCATCATGCTTGGTAAAGTAGAGGGTCGGTGAAAAAGGAGAAGACCCTCAACAAGATGGACTGACATAGTGGCTTCAAGGATGGGCTCAAGCATAGCAATGATTGTGAGGACAGTGCAGGACCTGGTAGTGTTTTGTTTTGTTGTACATAAAGTCACTATGAGTTGGAACCAACTTGATGGCACTCAACAACAACAAAATGGCCAGAACATGGAGTTGTAATGGAAGTGGTCAGTGATAAGGCTGAAAAGGAATATGGGACAGGCTATGAAGTGGGTTTAATGTCACTTTAGGGAATCTTACTTCAAAACATGGATAATGGGGAAATAGTGAAGTTTCCTATGATATAGAATTAACATCTGAGTTTCAAAAAGATCACTATGCTGGATGCAAATGAAAGTGGGTGAGCAAAACAAGGTTCAGACAGGTTAATTAATGTTCCCATAGGTCATAAGCTTTTAAGTAGAGTGGATAAATTTAAAGTAGGAATAGCTCTTAAATGTTACTGTTGTTAGGTGCCAAAGAGTCAGCTCTGAACTCATAGTGACCCTATGTACAACAGAACAAAACACTGCCTGATCATGTGCCATCCTCACAATCCTTCCTACTGCACCATTTACGAACTCTTTATAGCAGAAAATTTTATTTTAATAAAGATGGAAAGAATCTGTAGGGATAATGAGGGAAAAGAGGGAAAGATTAGAGATTAAAGATCAGACTACAAAGATATAAGCAAAATATTGGAATGACATCGGTACTCTAGGTTTCTGTCACTGCATTTCAGATTTCTAACTCTGTGGCACAAGTATCTGAAAATTTCTGATGTTCTATTTCTTTAACTATAAAAAGAGGTATCTAAATTGTATGATTTCTAAATGTTGCCCCAATTCTAACAATCTAGTTTTTGATAAAGACCAATTAGATTAGGCTACGAGGGGTGTCAATAAACTATGGATTTGCAGGTCAAATCTGGCTGCCGTTTGTTCCTGTAAAGCTTTATTAGAATTCAGCCATATCCATTAAATACAGTCTCTGGTTGCTTTTAAACTACAATGGAAGAGTTGAGTAGTTATAGTATAAATGATATGGTCTACAAAGTCAAAATATTTACTTCTAGCCCCCGATAGAAAATGTTTGTTCACCCCTGGACTAGGAAGGCACCAGTTATTATCTTCATAAGAGCTGGGAAAATATAACAAAATCAAAAAAAAAAAACACCAAAGTCACTGCTGTCGAGTCGGACCCAACTCATAGCGACACCTCCTTGGGTTTCCAAGGCAGTATCTCTATGGAAGTAGATTGTTCAACCTTCCTTCTGAGGAGTGACTAGTAGGTTTGAACTGCCAGCCTTCTGGTTAGCAGTCAAATGCCTTAGGCACTACACCAAAGTGGGAGATAATAAACCAGTTTAAAGGAGCTTTAGAGGCGTAGTGCTGTAAGAATATCTTACATATTCCATAAGGCATCTGACTGCCAACCAGAAGGCTGGTGGTTTAAACCCACCAGTCACTCCTCAGAAGGAAGATGGGGCAATCTACTTCCATAGTGATACTGCCTTGGAAACCCAAGGAAGAGTCGCTATGATTCAAAACTGACTCGACAGCATATTACAACAACAACAACAAAGGAGCTCTGGTGGTGCTGTGCTAAGGCATTTGGCTGCTAACCAGAAGGCTGGCAGTTCAAACCCACCAGCCACTCTGCAGAAGGAAGATGGGATGATCTACTTCCAAAAAGATTTACCATCTCAGAAACCCAATGGGGGTCACTATGAGTTGGAATCAACTTGATGGAAGTGAGTTTGGTCTTTGAAGGAGATAAAAGAAAATTCAAGTTAAGAAGTCAGAGACAAGGAGAGTTGATGATAATACTTTGAAGTATGCATCTGGTGAAAGAAAAAAATTATAAAGAATTAAAAATATGGCAGCAGAAGGTGTGGCATATTTTAAAATGTTCAGATATGGAACACCTGCAAATGTAGACTGAATTACCTGATATGGCCCTTCTAGCCATAGTCTTTGTAACTCTGACCAAATGACTGGGTATGACTATGCAAATGAGATTCTTGTGGCCTACCATGGAGACTAGATAGTTTACTAATAATGCAAATAATGTTCATGACACTCTTGTGAGGGTGGCACCATGCAAATAACATGTACAGAACCCTAACAAGGGGATTGGTCAGTTTTGCCATCCTGCTAGGTTTAAAAGAAAGCCAATCCCAGAGCACATGGGGACCTGACTACCACCAAGAAGAAGAGATGGGAGCAGAGAGTGTCCTTTGGACCCAGGGCCCCTGTGCTGGGAACCTCCTAGGCCCAGGAGACAAAGAGCTGTAACATTGGATATGGCAAAAGATGGAGAGAAACAGGGGCAGAGAAATGGTGGTAGCAGAAGCAGCAGAACCAAGACACTAGCAGCAGACAGCACAGTGGGATTCCTGGCCCATAGAGTGAGAAAGCTGAGTGCCTTTGGGGACAAGGCTTGCTGATGGAACAGGGTGCCTCTGGGCAACTGGAGCTAGGTTTGCCAACTTATGGAGCCAGAGAGTTGAGCACTTTTGAGCTGAGGCTTACTGGTGGAGTAGGTGTCTCTGGGTACTTATGAGAAGAGATGTAAGAGCTTTGTAACACTTGCCCAAGTAGGCAGAAGCCAGGTCAAGGGGCCAAGGGCCAGAGAGAGACCAGCCTGTGGGGATGGCTAAGAGATTGTCCTGACTGAAGAACTATATCCTGAGCATTCCTGAATGTGAACTATAATCTGTTACTTCCCTAACAAACCCTGTAACTATGAGTATGGTGAGTTCTGTGTGGTCACTGAATTATGAACCCAGCAGAGAAATAGTGCTGTGGGAGGGATGGCTGGTGTCAGAGTTGATAAAAATGTTGGAGGGTGGAGGAATAGCTGACCTCCATCTCACAGGAACCAGCCTTGGGCCAATGCTGATGGTAATTAACTTTCTCCTTCGTGAAGTTAGAGGAGGTCAGATGCCCCTGCTTTGCCATTTTTAAACAGATGAAAAGGAAACCACAAAGAGCAAGAGGCTAAAGATGCTAGAAGGAAGTGAGGCTGCAAAAAAGGGAAAAGGAGGTAGAATCATGGAGTAGTATTAGACAGAGAAAAAGACACCTTTGCCTCTTATCTGAAAGAATGGTAAGCAAACAAAGCTGTCAAGACAGAGACCGTCTTGATGCAAAGAAAACCATTACAACCAAGGAGGCTTCCACTGGGAACCCTGAATATTTCAACAGAACTCAGAATTTCCATAAAGTCTCCAGTGTATTGCCTCCCCATGACCTGCTCATATACAGAGACTCCATTGTACGATTTCCCAGTCACTCACTCACCTAGACAGGTGTCTTGGGGGATTTCTCTTTCAACCATGCAGGGATCTTCTCTTTGTAGCAACTGGGAAGTCATCTTCAGCATTGAAAATGGAATCCCTGCTCATGAGAAAAGAATGGTGTTTGAAAGAATAGCATAAAAACAATCCCATCACTCAGACATCAGAACCTACAGGCCAGAGAAGCAAGGTCTAGGCAGGCAGAAGTTGGTAGGACAAGTATTTCTGCAGACTTCTAGATAGATCAGGAGGTGAGTCTCCATTTAGAAAGTATATAGGGCCCTGGCTATGAAAGCCTCTGAGATGGGAGACCTATATTGGTCTCAGAAATCTACACTAGGATGTAATCACTGGAGTTGGGGAAACTTTGATTGGGGTGTATTGGTGCGGGGGGGGGGGGTTGGGAAGGAGGATGAGGAAAAGAACAGTATTAAGGACATCTCTACAAAAATGTACATTTTCAGCCCTACAGAGTTTCAGTCTTTACCAGGGGCACAATAGGATAGAAATCTCCTGACTCTAAACCCCAAAGAGGGAGTTAAGATATTCTTACAGAAGATACTTCATCATAGAAAAATTTCTTTACCCAATGAGACCAGGAAGTAGAAGACATAAAAATCATAAACCTTTATACATTATATTTTGTATTACATATTTTACTCAAATCACAATGGAAATATGACCAAAGTGCAACCATATTAGGAGAAATCAACTCTCCCTCAGAATCTGATGGACCAAGTAATCAAAAAGGAAAAGAGAAGACATGCCCTTCCCAGCATTTCCCACCTAGCTGGTATATCAAGGAGACTCTTAGCCAGTGTCTCCTGAGTGCAACCTCTTCACTGACCAAAGCCCAGGCCATCAGAATGAACTGTGCCCATTTCCCATTGCTCTGTCACTCACCTTGACAGGAGCCTGGAGGAATTCCTTCTTCTACCACACAAGGGTCTTTCCCTTGCTGTAACTGGGAGATGATCCTTGGTTTGGAAAAAGGAATCCCTGTTCATGGACAAGAAAAAGAAACCAAATATAGGTTGCAGACCTGAGTGGCCATCTAGCCCTCAGATCCAGCCCCAGAGGTCCAGTGCAGAGGAATAGTCCAAGGAGGCAGACAGGTGTGTTCTGAGAGGGGCTTAATATCAAGCACCTGGAAGATGGTAGAGAGGTGGTCCTGGAAAGAAAGTTAGGGCTCTGGCTGTGTATCCCTTTAAGCTGGGGTTCATGGGACTAGAGAAGCTAGAGGAGCAGGAGACAGGAAAAGCACAGTATAGACACCTACCATCAACTCTACCAAGCCAAGACCTTCCCCAGCAGCTGAGGGAAACAGTTAACTGCCACTCTCTGTGCCCACCTGCAAGTTAAGCCTGGACAAGCCCTTCAATGTCCTCTTTGAGAGGGTGTTAAGATGTTCCCACAGAACATTCTATATCACAAGGAAAGCTCCTTACCTAGTGAGATCAGGTTGCTGTAGTTCTCTAGCATCACCTCTCGGTACAAGATTCTCTTAGCAGAGTCCAGGTATAACCACTCTTCCTGGTTGAAGAATACAGCTACATCCCTAAATGTCACTGACTCCTGTAACAAAAACCCATTCCTATTCATCAAGGACTATCTTCTTCAAAAGTCACAGAAAGACACAGTAAGGTCACATCAGGATGTAAAGCAATCAATTCTGAAAATGTCTCAGGACTCTTAAGTATTTCAAATCAACAATTTGTAATTTTTTTTAAGAACACCTATCAAATATTTATCGAATACCCACTGGGAGCAAAGACACATGCCAAGTGCTGTGGGGGTAGGAAAAAAAGGCAAAGTGCCTATCAACGGGGAATTTAAATTTCAGCTTGGGACTTTTCAAAGTGACCAAGTAGATACGTTCACTTCCGCCCTTCCACTCAAAGTCCAAATTAAATGAAAGGGGGGGGGGAAGGAATACATTTATAGAAATGTTGGAATACTAAAAATGTATCAGCTGAATAGAAACATAAAGGAATTTTTGTGATATAAAGCAAATTAACAAAAATAATGTTGTTAGGTGTTGTCGAGTTGGCTCTATGTACAACAGAACGAAACACTGCCCGGTCCTGCAGCAGCCTCACGATCCTTGCTATTCCTGAGCCCATCGTTGTAGCCACTGTGTCAATCCATCTAGTGGAGGGCCTTCCCTTTTTTCGTTGACCCTCCACTTTACCAACCATGATATCCTTCTCCAGGGAATGGTCCCTTCTGACAACAGGACCAAAGTAGGTGAGATGAAGTCTGGCCATTCTCGCCTCCAAGGAGCATTCCAGCTGAATTTCTTCTGGGACAGATTTGTTCTTTTGGGATTCCATGGTACTTTCAGTATTCTTCACTAACACTAGAACTCAAAAGCATCAATTCTTCTTCAGTCTTCCTTATTCCTTGTTCAGCTCTCACACATATGAGATGACTGAAAATACCATGGCTTGGGTTGGGCCACTTTAGTCTTCAAAGAGATATCTTGCTCTTCAGCACTTTAAAGAGGTCTTTTCCAGCAGATTTGCCCAGTGCAATACATTGCCTGATGTCTTGACTACGACTTCCACTGGTGTTGACTGTGGAACCAAGTAATATGAAATCTTGGGACAAGTTCAATCTTTTCTCCATTTATCATGATGCTTCTTATTAGTCCAGATGTGAGAATTTTTGTTTTCTTTATGTTGAGGCATAATCCATACTGCAGACTGTAGTCTTTAATCTTCATCAATAAGTGCTTCAAGTCATCCTCACTTTCAGCAAGCAAAGTTGTGTCATCTGTATACCTCAGGTTGTTAACTAAGACGTCCTCAAATCTTGATGCCATGTTCTTCTTCATATAGTCCAGCTTCTCAGATTATATGCTCAGCATACAGATTGAATAAGTATGGTAAAAGGATACAACCCTGACATTGAATAAGTATGGTAAAAGGATACACTCCCTTCTTGATTTTAAACCATGCAGTATCCCCTTGTTCTGTTCAAATGACAGCTTCCTGGTCTATATGTACAGGTTCCTCATGAGCATGACTAAGTGTTCTAGAATTCCCATTCTTCTCAATATTATCCATAATTTGTTATGATCCACACAATCAAATGCTTTTGCATAGTCAATAAAACACAAGTAAACATCTTTCTGGTATTATTTGTTTTCCGCCAAGATCCAGCTGACATCAGCAATGATGTCCCTCATTCCACATCCTCTTCTGAACGCAGCTTGCACTTCTGGAAGTTCTCTGTCAATATACTGCTGCAACCATTTTTTAATTATCACCAGCAAGATTATACTTGCATGTGATATTAATGATATCGTTCGATAATTTCCACATTCTATGGGATCACCTTTCTTTAGAACAGGTACAAATATGGATCTCTCCCAGGCATTTGGCCAGGTAGCTGTCTTCCAAGTTTCTTGGCATATATGAGTAAATGCTTCCAGTGTGGCATCCGCTTGTTGAAATATCTCATTGGGTACTCCATCAATTCCTGGAGCCTTGTTCTTCGCCAATTCCTTCAGTGCAGCTTCGACTTTTTCCTTCAATACCATTGGTTCTGGATTATATGCCACCTCCTGAAATGGATGAACATCGACCAATTTTTTTTGGTACAGTGACTCTGTACTCCTTCCATCTTCTTTTGATGTTTCCTGCATCATTAAATATTTTGGTCACAGAATCTTTCAATATTGCAACTTGAGGCTGAATTTTTTTCTCAGCTCTTTCAGCTTGAGAAATGCCGAGCATATTCTTCCCTTTTGGTTATCTAACTACAGGTCTTTGCACATTTCATTATAATAATTGACTTTGTCTTCTTGAGCTGCTCTTTGAAATCTTTCTGTTCAGCTCTTTCATCTTGTCGATTCTTCCATTTTCTTTAGTTACTCTCCATTCAAGGGCAAGTTTCAGAGTCTCTTCTGACATCCAATTTGGTCTTTTCTTTCCTTCTTGTCTTCTTAATGACCTCTTGCTTTCTTTATGGATGATGTTCTTGATGTCATCCCACAATTCCTCTCGTTTTCAGTCACTGGTGTTTAATGCATTAAATCTATTCTTTAGATGGTTTCTAAATTCAGGAGAGATATAATCAAGGTCATATTTTGGCTCTTGTGGACTTGTTTTAATTGTCTTCAGCTTCAACTTGAACTTGCATGTGAGCAGCTGATGGTCTGCTCCATGGTCAGCTCTTGGCCTTTTGGATGAAAATATTGAGCTTCTCCATCGCCTCTTTCCACAGATGTAGTCAATCTGATTCCTCTCCTCTGTACTCCATCTGGTGAAGTCCACATATATAGCCACCATTTATGTTGTTGAAAAAAGGTATCTGCAATGAATAAGTTGTTGATCTTACAAAATTCTATCATGTAATTTCCAGTATTATTTCTATTGCCAAGGCTGTATTTTCCAACTACCAACGATCTTCTTTGTTTCCAAGTTTCACATTCCAATCAGCAGTAATAATCAATATATCTTGATTGCATGCTTGGTCAATTTCAGACTGCAGAAGTTGGTAAAAATCTTCAATTTCTTCATCTTTGGCTTTAGTGGCTGGTGCGTAAACTTGAATAATAGAAATAATAACTGGTCTTCCTTATAGGCATATGGATATTATCTTACCACTTACTGTACTTAAGGACAGATCTTGAAATATTCTTTTTGACAATAAATGTAAGGCCATTCCTCTTCAATCTGTCATTCCCAGCATATTAGATCATATAATTGTCTGACTCAAAATGGCCAATACCAGTTCATTTCAGCTCACTAATACCTAGGATATCAATCTTTATGCATGCCATTTCATTTTTGAACTTCCAATTTCCCTAGATACATACTTCGTACATTTCACATTCTGATTATTAATGGATGTTTGCAGCTGTTTCTTCACATTTTGTAAATGAAGATCCTGAAAGCTTTGCTCCATCCATGTCAAGATCCATTCTACTTTGAGGAGTCAGATCTTCCTCATTCATATTCTGAGTGCCTTGCAATCTGAGGGGCTTATCTTCCTACACACTGTATCAGACAATGTTTTAGGAGTACTTATAAAGTATTTCAGTAATATATCAGACAGTGCTTCACTGGTATTCACAAAGTTTTCACTGGCCCAATTTTTTCAGCAGTGGATTGTCCCATTCTTCTTCCCAGTCTTTCTTAGTCTGGAAGCTCTGCTAAAACCTGTCCACAATGTGTGACCCCCACTGGTATCTGAAATATTGGTGGCATAGCATCCAGCTTCACAGCAACATGCAAGCCACCATAGTATGACAAATTGACAGATGGGTGGTACAACAAACAGACCATCCTTTGTTGTGCTGACCTTAGGCCAGTGAAATGGTTTCTCACTTCTGACCTCTAGAGCTCCTTACATAAAGGTAGGGCACTGGAGAAGGAATGTTGTTGTTGTTGTTGTGTCATCAATTCTAACTCACAGTAACAGTTGAACTGCTCCATAGGCTTCCCTAGGCTATAAGCTTTACCACAGCAGACAAACAGGTCTTTTCTCCTGCAGAGCCACTAGGTGGGTTCAAACCACTGATCTTTCAGTTAGCAACCAAGTGCTTAACCATTGTGCCATCAGGGCTCCTTGGAAAAGGGAAAATTGAAAGTTAAATAAAATTTCATTTTTCTTATTCTTAACTAACCTAATAGATAACTGTTTCAAGTAGTAATAGTAACAATGTATTAGGTGATTATAGCATACGGATGAGCACAATTAAGGACAGCAATGTCACAAGGGATGGGCAGGAAAAATTAGGAGAACTCTGTTGTAAGCTACCTTACTCCCTGTGAAGTTGTACAGTTATGTAGTTTTATTTGAAGATAAACTTAGATTAATATTGCAGACTGCAAGGCAACCACTAAACACAATTAAAAAGAAGTATGACTGATATATGTTGCTGTTGGGTGGCAGTGAATCGATTTGTGACTCATAGTGACTCCGAGGCATAGTGTAGAACTGTCTCATAGGGTTTTCTAGGCTATAATCTTTAAGGGAGCAGGTCTCTAGATCTTTATCCCACAGAACTGCTGGATGAGTTCAAACCGCCAATCATTTGGTTAGCAGCCAAGCACTTACCTACTGTGCCAACATGGCTCCTTTGATTGATATAGAGTCAAAAAAAAAAAAAAAAATCAGTGACTGCCAGGATTTCCAGAAAGGGGAAGGAGGAGCCTCGAATAGGTGGAGCACAGAGGATTTTTTAGGCATTTAGGGCATTATTCAGTATAACACCATAATGGTAGGTAGATGACACTGCATTTGTCAAATCTAAGAAATTTTACAGCACAAAGAGTAAACCTTAATGCATGCAAATTTTTAAAAATAATATTTAGGAGATTTGGGGATCCCAGGATGGAATGTAGACTGTGATTAAAGAATCAAACTGTATTACAATGTATAAACAACCTCACTGAAGGGGGTGAGGGAAAAGGTGCTGATTTCAATCATTTTGAAAATGAATGGAATCTGTAAGACTGATGGCAAAAGGAACTACACATATGTATTCTACTCTGGTTGATAAAGTTGTTCTCCATGGGGTTACAGAAGGATGGGTTAGCAATTCAGATACTATTATACACATAAAGCAGAACTGAACAGTTAAGTAAATAAATGGATGGCAGATGTAAGAGCCAGATTTATCATTACCAGAATATAAGTTTACAGACAAAGAAGAGAAGGAGGCTAGAATGATCCATGTGACAGTGGATTAAAGTTGGAGATAGCCTGAACTCACATTTAGCTTAATATAAATACAGATGGTTACATACTGAAAAAATTTGCATATATAGGCTAGTATAAACATATACTCCCTTGCTCTCTCAGCTGAGAGAGTCTAAAAACAAAGACATCTCAGTTTCAATGAGCAAATCTAGAGCCTAGATCTTGTTTTCTAGTACCATTCTCCAATATATAAAACAGAGCTCCTTTGGAGAAATGGCTGATTCTAGGACTGGGCCAAGAAATATATAAGATAAGCCTAGAGCATCAGGTAATGGAAGAAAGTTAACCAAAAACTACTGCCACCAAGTCAATGCTGACTCATAGTGACCCTATAGGACAGAGTAGAACTGCTCCATAGAGGTTCCAAGGCTGCAAATCTTTAGGAAGCAGACTGCCTCATCTTTCTCCTGTAAAGCAGTTCAAACCACTGACCTTTTTCTTGGCGGCTGAATGCCTTAATCACTGCACCACCAGAACTCCCTGCCAGAAAGTAAGGGAGTGATAAACCACACACATATGCACACTGATGAGGGATATGTGAAAGGGACAGAGGCGCCAACTGAAAGAGCCCCCAATAACCAAAGCAGGAACGATTTGAACAGTAAATTAAAGTAGTACTGAATTATAAGCCAAAATAAAAAATAAATTTTATTAGTTCACACTGATATAAATAAATGACTGACCAAATAAATAAAAGGGAAAGAGACAAATCCCCTGCACAGATTTCCAAATAATTTATGTAGATACTCCACCTTCATGGAGGTGAAGCAGAAGTTCCCACTCCTTAAGTAAGATATGTACAGTGATTTCCTTCCAAAGAGTACAGTGTGGGAAGACCGGAAAAAAAAAAAAAAAGAGTAACTTTATAGTAGAAAAACACAAGAAAGGTCAACCAGGTGATCAAGGTTAACATCAACAGTGGTAAGTTATGTTGACAGTATGTACCCTTGATATGATGTGATAAGAATGGCACTTTACGTCTGTGGTCTCTCTTCCAAAAACTATGACCTCAGTCTAATAATAAGAAAAACATCAGGCAAATCCCAACAGAGGAACATTCTACAAAATATCTGACCAGTACTCCTCAAAACTGTCAAGGTCATCAAAAACAAGGGAAGCCTGAGAAAATGTCAGGCCAAGAGGAGCCCAGGGAGAGATGACAACTAAATGTAATGCGGTCTTTTGGGATAGGATCTGGAACACAAAAAGGGCATAAGGTAAAAACTTAAGCAACCTGAACAAAGTATAGACTTTATCTAATAATAATGTATCAAAATCAGTTAATTATTAAATATCACAAATGTACCATACTAATTTAATGTTAATAATAAGAGAAACTGGGTTCAGAGTATGTGGTAACTCTCTGTATTATCTTCACAATTTTTCTCTAAATCTAAAACTGTTCTGAAATATAAAGATTAATTTTTAAATAACAGTGACAACATAACAAAGTACTGATTGATTATATAACAAAAATTAATTAACAAACTATAAGCAATCACCACCAAGTTCCATGTATCTTTTCCCCAGAATATACTTACATATTAGAAGGAAACAGAATAAGTAATATTTTAAAAATCTGTGAAGGTCCTACTTTTTCTGAAATGTATGCTTGTCTGCTGTTTAATGTTTCTAACAGACTGCAAGCAGAGAGAAAGTTGTCCCTCAGTGCCCTGAATGAGGAAAGAAGTTGAAATTGGCTATTATCAGTGAGCTGATTTAAATGGGGTCATGGGACCAATGAGACCTGTGATGGGGTAATAAGTCACCTCAGGTTCCAAGGAGATTTGATTAAAATGCTTACTTACTGAGTTGTTACTGTGTGCCACTGAGTTGGTTCTGACTCACAGTAACCCTCCAGGGTACAGGGGAATTGCCCTATAGGGTTTCCAAGTAGGTAATCTTTACAAAAGAACGTGGCCAGGTCTTTCCTCCCACGGAGTGGTTGCTGGGTTTGAAGTGCCAACCTTTTGATAAGCAGCTGAGAATGTAACCATTGAACCACTAGTGCTGCTTACATACTGAATTAGCTGTCCACAAAGAAAGAAAGAAAAAAAAAAACTAGCTCCTGGTTGTAAACAAACACCTCTACCTCTGCCCTTAGAGATAAGTGAGTCTCTCCAGCTTGGAGTGCTGGAATGCTCAGACAGTGAAAGAGTCCTCCTTTGGGCATAGGGTAGCCCAGGTAATAGCTGGGTACTGGCCTGCACTGCGGTTTGGCTAATCTTTATCTCTTTGTTTCCTGAAATGTCTGTTTCTTTGTAAATAAAGACTCAAAGTAAAGTCAAGTCTAGTGAGGAGAGTCATCCCAAATTCTGACTGGTCCTAAAACAGTGCTGCTACTATGATAATGATGATAGGAATAAATTCATTTATTGACACTGATGTACTGTTTTCAGCACTTTACATATACTTTCTTGGAGTGTATGCCAACAATCCCAAAACCAAACCAAACTCACTGCTGTCGAGTCAGATCTGACTCATAGCCACCCCTCCTTGGGTTTTCGAGAAGGCATCACAATGGAAGTAGATCACCCAATCTTCCTTTTGAGGAGTGGCTGGTGGGTTTGAATTGCTAGCCTTCTGGTTAGCAGTCAAATTCTTTAGGCACTACCGCCACCAGAGCTCCTATGCCAACAATGCAAACTGCTTTTTCAAAAGCCAGCTGTGTGATTGTGATCAAGTTACGTGCTTCTCTACACCTCAGTGTTCTTATCTGTGAAATGCAGATATTAAGAGTACTCTTGTAAGGATTATATGAGTTAATATATGAAAAAAATATATATTTAGCACATCATAATACACAGCATCTGGCATATAGTGTATTTATAATTACTACTGTTATTAATGTTGACACCGATTCTGAGGTATATTTAGCCCCACTTACAAATGAGGAAATGAGATATATAGAGATAAATAGGTTGCCTAAGGTTATAGCCATAGCTTGAATTTGAATGCATACAGATCTGGCAATCTGCCTTTGTAAAGATTACAGCCAAGAAAACCCTATGAGGCAGTTCTTCTCTGTCACATGGGGTCACTCCAAGTTGGGATCAACTCAATAACACCCAGTAACAACAAAAATCAAATTCCAGAGTTCATATTGTTAATTAGTCAGCTAGTACTACTTTCTGGAAAAGTAGTCAGTGAAAAACAGGAATTCAAAGATTATACTCTAGTGGTTTTGGGAAGGGTGGAATGGAAAATCCACAGAAGGGAGGCAATCAGGAAAGGCAACTGGTATTGGGGGAGAGATGGAACTTCCATGTGGAAATGTTTAATAAGGGCTTGGGAATGACCAACCGCTGCTTCGGGAAAAAGATTAGCCCTGAAGACTGAGATTTGGAAAAATCTTTAGAAAAGTGAGGATTCAAGTAATGACAATGTATCTCCAAAGAGGAAAGAGCAGGAAAGAGCCCAGGAGGGCAGCTAGAAATAGCAGGAGAGAAAAGAATCAGAGATGGAGATGGAGGCATTGGCTGGACAAATAAGAGGAAAACTGAAATAGTTTAACATCACAAATACACTAGGAAGAGGAATTTTTAAAGAAGACCAAAGACCTTGGGAAAGGTCTCAGCTTACTGTCTTCCCTGGTGCCATCCTTAGACCTGAGCCGGGGTGAAGTCCTTCAGGAATATCTTTGGTCTTCTTTAACCACTAATCAGTCCTGACCTTCAAATTCAGTTCAAAATGACCCTGTTTCTAGGATGTTTGCCCTGAATCTTCTTCAGCATTTAATCATACTTTCTAAGATTCGTGCCATGAAGACAGAAATAACACCTTCCCTCTCTGTATCTCCAGCACCTTGCACAATATCCTGTACATAGTAGGTGCTCAATAAATGTTTGTTGAGAGACATCTCTGCCCCTTCTATGTCTTTGTTTTGAGTGAAACTACAATTTCTGTGAAGAGAGAGGTTGTGTCTTAATCTCCATAGTTACCACCAAGCACTTTTTGTAGCAGGAACATACTTTCATAGTGGATTCAATTTTTGGGCAAGGAGTTTGGAGTGAAATGAGAGTGACCTCCGGGACAAAGCAACCGCACTCCTCAGCAGCCCTTCAGTATGCCCAGGATCTTGGAAAAAACTTGACAGGCTCTGGAGTCTCCACAGAGAAATCAGACAGAGAAGTCCTTGGACAAAGAATGGAAACATGTCCACCATTTCTGAACCCAGAAGGCAATTCATGAAAAAGGCAAATTTCACTTACTGTCACCTGTGCAGGGAGCAAGTCCATGGCCATTCTTTCTCTTATTTATTCTGTCAAGGAAGTGCAGAGTACTGCCAAGGCAGGTCTGCAGAGGAAAACGATGTTGTTATAAACTCTGGTGTCAAGGGATGGCTTGAGGAGAGCAAGTTACAACCGTCCATAATGTCCATCAGGTTCTAACAAAGCCACCCCACATAAAAAATCAAATCCAAGTCAAAACCAAAAAATTAAACCAAACCCACTGCCATTGAGTCAATTTCAACTCACAGTGACCCTTTAGGACAGAGTAGAACTGCCTCATAGGGTTTCCAAGGCTGTAAATCTTTACAGAAGCAGACTGTCTCATTTTTCTCCCACAGGGCATCTGGTGGGTTTGAACCTTGGACCTTTTGGTTAGCAGCCAAATGCTTTAGCCACTATGCCACTGTTGTTGTTGTTGTTGTTATGTGCCGTCGAGTCAAACCCGACTCATAGCGACCCCTCCTTGGTTCTTCCAAAGTCAGTGCACTTCTAAGACAATTTACCAATCTCCATCTTTTTCCTAGCCCCAAAGAAATACACAGGCCAGATTGTTGCCCCTCCTAAATACAAATCCACAGCTAGAACTGGCCCTCCCTTCCCCCATACAAACAAACCAACTGGGAGGGGCAGGAATCCCACTCACTCTAGAGAGAACAAGGTAGAGAGCATCTGGTATAGTCAGGCATGTGTCAGAGAAAGGCCCTGGTCATGGCTGCCTGGGCTGACTCTGCTGGAGTTTGCAGTGCCCTCCTCAGGGTGCAGCATCTGGCTGAGAGATCTGCGTGCTGTGTATGCTCCATAATCTCCAGTTGGATGCTCTTGGCCAGTGAGAGGGATGTTGTTTGCAGAAGTAAGGGTAAACACTATATGATGGGCACCTTCTCCATCAGCAATTTTGAGTGTTTTTCATGCATTATTTTTGATCTTCACAACTTAAAAGAATTGCAACTCCATTGTACAGATGTGAGACTGAGAACTACACAGCAGTGGTGACTTGCCCAAAGTCACAAAATTAGTAAACAGTAAAAGTAGGAAAGGAATCCTGGTTCAAGTTCAAATGCAGGTCAGAAATGACTTGGCCACTCTGTGCCTCAGTTTCTTCATCAGTAAAATGGAGATAATAGTCGTATAGCCAAGCTATCAGTTGTGCAGGGCTAAATAAATTAACTCATTTAAGGCGCTAGACTTGTGCCAGACAGTCTATTGGCTTCTGTCGTTTGTTTCTATTAGTATTTGTCTCACTCAGAAGTCTAGGGGTGGGGCTGGGAGGGGAGAGAAAGCCACAAAGGATTCAGGAGCTCACAGCAGGCCCTGCCACACAGTATTGCCATTTACGCGCCCCCAGCTTACCTGGCAGGAGCGCTCCCGCCCAGAGCCTGCGCGAGGCCCCGCAGGGCACAGCACTCCGGGCCTACACGCGCCCGCGCCTCTTGACCGATTGGCCACGCGGTGGTCGGTGCTCGCGTGAGTACCCGAGCTGCGCAGGGCCTCTCACAGACTCCTCGCTGCTCCCCGCCGAGGCTCCGCACGCTGCCTCATCCAGAGAAACGCTGGCTCGGAGATGGCCCGCAGAAAGCAAGTGGGCGCTTTCAAGCCCCAAATGGGTCACCCTGGTGGAATCGGGATCACCCAAGCAACAAGCCCACAGAAAGGCTGCGAGCTGTTCCCGCACACCCCCGGACACCACTAGCACTACGACTCCCGGCATGCCTCGGACCCAGTGCCGACTACTCTTCCCAGAGGGCGCCGCAGTGCGGCGACTTCTGGGAAATGAACATGTTCACCTGGATCAAGCGCTCGCGTTCTGCGGGGAATGTTGTTGTTGTTATTTGCCGTCGAGTCGGCCCCGATTCATAGCGACCCCTCCTTGGGTTTCCGAGGCAGTATCACTACGGAAGTAGGATTGCCCAACCTTCCTTCCAAGGAGTGGCTGGTGGGTTTGAACCGCCAGCCTTCTGGTTAGCAGTCAAGTGCCTTAGGCTCCGTAGTGATACTGCCTCGGAAACCCAAGGATGGCTCGCTATGAGTCCGACTCCCTGGCACATAATAACAACAACAACATGGAAGTGCTTTGGTGGCTAGTGCCTAAGGCATTTGACTGCTAACCAGAAGGCTGGCGGTTCAAACCCTCCAGCCACTCCTTGGAAGGAAGACAGGGCAATCTACTTCCTGAGTGATAAAACCAAAAACCAAAAGCACTGCCGTGGAGTCGCATCCGACTCATAGGGACCCCTCCTTTGGTTTCCGAGGCTGTATCATTATGGAAGTAGATTGCCCGACCTTCCTTCTGAGGAGTGGCTGGTGGGTTTGAATGGGCCAGCCTTCTGGTTAGCAGTCAAATGCCTTAGGCACTACCATACCAACTCAGAAACCCAAGGAGGGGCTGCTATGAATCGCATCCGACTCAACAGCAGTGAGTTTGGTTTGGTTTATGGAAGATAATGGTGCCACAGCTCCCAATACACATTTTGACTATTCTTTTAGTAATTATAAAGTGTATCATACACAGAAGAAAATATATCCATAATTTAAGTTTAAGCATAAAATGAATACCCATATATGCAACACTCTGCTTACAAAAGAGAAGTTTACCAGACTTTTGGAATCCTTGTACATAGTCCTCCCCAATCATTTTCTGGAATTGTGTTAAGCAGTCTCTTGCTTAATGGGATGGTTGTCGAAAGTGTATGAGTCCCTAAACAATAAGTGTTTACATTTGAATCTTTACATACAAAAATCCTTTATATTTTGATCTTTAAATAATAATCTGCTGTTATGTTCTTCTGTGACTTGCTTGACATTAACACTTTAATCCATCCATCTTGATACATAGAGTTCATTTTCAGTGCTGTATAGGATTCCATCATTCATTCATTCGTCCTTTCATTCAACAAAAAATATACCAAGCACCTATCTTGTGCCAGGCATGGTTCTAGATGCTAAAGATATATCAGTGAACAAAACTGGCAAAAATCTCTGCATTCATGCACCTTAAATTTTACTGGAGGAGGGAGAAGAGAGATAATAAGAAGAATAAATGATATGCCTTTGAATAATGACGAATGCTAACACGAAGAACGAGATGGGGGAACAGGAACTCTTGGGGAGGGGATGGCTTTTGTGATTTCAGACAAAGTGGTTAAGAAAGATTCCACTGAGAAGGTGACATTTTAAGAAAGGCCTGCAGAAGATAAGAAGCCAAGTTAAGTATCTGCAGGGGAACACTTTCTGGCAGATTGAAAAGCAGATTCAAAGGCTCTGAGGTGGAAGTCCACCTGGCCCATTCAAGGAACAATAAGGACACTGTTGCTAGGGAGAGGGTTGTGGGAGATCAGAGACAAGCGGGGAAGAACAGTAGATATTATGTCATTATGTACTTGTTTTTACTATGAATGAAAAGGGAATCCTCTGAGCAGTGGAGAGACACTCTCACTACCATTTTAAGTGTTCACTCTGACTGTTGTGCTGAGAATAAACTAAAAAGGTCAAAGGAAGAAGACAGTGGTTTAGACTGAACAGAAGTTATGAGAAGTGGTTGGATTCTGGATATAATTGAAAGCAGAGCTAATGGATGGTATGAAAGAAAGAGTCACAAATGATGCAGTTAGGTGTGAGGAAATCAAGAACGAAACAACTAACAGCTGAGAATGGAAAAATGATTGGAGGAGAAAGTTTGGAAGGGCCAATGGCTATGGATGCAGGAGGAAGTTATTAGAAATGCAGTTATGGATATGCTAAATTTGAGATACTTGTTAACTATCCAGGAGCTCTGATGCACTAGTGGTTAAAGCATTTGGCTGCTAACCAAAAGGTCAGAGGTTTGAACCCATCATCACTCCACAGGAGAAAGATTGGTCAGCCTGCTCTTGTTAAGATTTACAGCCTTGAAAATGCTATGGGGGCAATTCTACTCTATCCTATAGGGTTGCTATGAGTCAGAATTGAATCAATGGCACTGTGTTTTTGGTTTTTACTATCTATCAGTCAGAGATGTTGCAGAGAGACTTGTATAAATGAGCCTGGAATTCAAGACAAATATCAGGGATGGTGATAAAAGTTGGTTATCATGTACAGAAATGAGATCAGAATGATAAGAGGATAAGGATGGAAAAGAAAAGTTGTCCGAAGACTGAGCCTTTACAGCACTTTCTTGTTTAACAATCAGGAACATAAGGAGGAACCAGCAAAGGAGCATTGCAAGAAAATTTAGCAGAATATAGTATCCTGAACGCCAAGTATAGAAAAGTTTTTCAAGGGGGCATGATCCACTGTGTCACATGCTGCTGGTAAGTAGAATGAGGCCTGACAATTTACTGCTGTAGTGCTTTTCTCTTGTCAGTTTGGTGTACTGTGCTGGCTTATGTGTTACTGTGATGCTGCAAGGTACCCACAATATTTTAGAGAGCTCCGGTAAGATGGCGGACTAGGCACAGACCCTCTTCGACAAAGAAAAGGGAAACCAATTAACACAGACACAGAAGATAATTCTGGACTCCTAAGCCTTACAGAAGATAATTCTGGAATTCTGAGCCTTGAAGGGAAGGATATAGAAGTGGACTAAACCCCAACTAGCAGAAGAATTTGTATGAAAATACCAAAAAAAAGAGACATACGGAGCTGCAGTCTGGCAGCGATCCTTAGCTATCTTCATGGCACAGACAGCTTGGAGACTCCCGACTGGTGGTAGGACTTAAGAATTAACCTAAAAATTACCCTGCTAGCCAGGGACTACACGGAGTACTGTGCACAGTGGCTGGGGAACAAATAGAGAAGGTGAAGAGAAAGGTGGGCTGAGCTGTGGACTTTTGCCGGTTCAGAGGGTGCCACCATTTTGAAGGTTTAAAAAGTGGCTTGACTATTTTGGATATTTAAAGAGCCAGTGCTCTCACTGATGCCTGTGGTGGTAGGACTAAAGAATTAACCTAAAAGTCACCCTGCTAGCCAGGGACTGCACGGAGGACTGTGCACAGTGGCTGGGGAACAAACAGAGAAGGTGAAGAGAAAGGTGGGCT